ATAGTATATCGACTGTAACTACACAAAACCGTTATGAAAACTTGACTTCCTATATACCATTTGATGTATCTCAACGAGCTCTACAATACTGTATAAAAATGAAATCGATTCAAGAAAATTTGTTTATCCGGCGGGGTCCTTTCGAAATAGGATAAAATTTAAACTTTTGCTTTTTTGCTTTTCTTATATGACAGTCTCAATTCGAATTTTAAAATTTATATTTAGGATAAAATTTTATCTGTCGCTTTTTGCTGTAACTATATGAGTGCAGGATTTTTAATTTTCGAATCGATATTGTGTAGTTGAACCTTCATTTATATTCGAATTCGAATTAAACATCTCATGGAAAACAGCATACACCCAAGGTACTACTGAATAGTCTTTTTCAGAAAGATCTTTCGTCTAGAATTAAATCATTATTTTCATTGATTTCTATAATTCAGGAAAGACACGTCAATTAATGCACTATTATACATATACATACAATGTAAATAGAAAGTATTTTCTATCCGACCCTCGATTCTAATCTATAAATTTCAGATGATCAAGGCGTTTATTGTATTTTCTCTTCTCTGTTTTATCAATGCGAGGTTCACAACAAATAGTACATGTAACAATTGCATAGGAAAAATCCACTCCAAACAAGATTTACAACTAGCTAGACAGAGTCTAATTATTGATAAAAGTCATAGCTGCCACAATAAACAATATACATTTTTTATCATTGTGAAATCAGGAAGCTTTGAAAAACGAAATTTCACACGTTCTACATGGGCCAAAGAAATTAGTGAACATTTTAAAATACCTATTCTATATGCCATTGGTTATCCAAAAGATCCTCATTTGCAAAAAGATATTATTGCTGAAGATCTTCTATATCATGATTTACTACAGTTCAATATTCTTGAAAGTTATTATAATTTAACATTGAAAACCACAAGTGTTCTACTGTGGTATGATCGATATTGTTCGAAAAATAGTGAATATCTTTTATATGTCGATGACGATGTACTTATACATGTCGATAAATTAATCATATATATGCATCGAACCGTTAACAATGATTCCATTCAAGGTTGGTTCGAAAACGCAGTACATATTCAGCGTGAAGGTATGGGTGGAGTATCAGTAGATGATTTTCCTATTGATTTTGCACCAGATTATTTATGGGGTGCAACAGTAGTATATCCGTCACATATAATATCGAATCGATTGATTAGCGCTATATTTAATTCAACGGTACCTATATTTTTTCGTGATGATGTTTTCATCAACGGATTTATGGCTCAACAAGCTGG